TACAGGAGTGGTGCCACTGAGTGCTGCATGCCCCTGCAGGGCCCCTAGTCTCCATCTTTCCCTTGTCTCCTCTTCTTGCTTGCTGGGAGCTCTTTCAGGCACTGCTCCATCAGCCACTGACGCCAGCTCTGGAATCAGGAGCCTGACCTACACTTGAGGCGTGCCTGCTTCCCCCTCCACCAGCTCTCCACCTGGGGCGGGGGAGGATGTGACAGATGCAGAGTGTTAGAAAGGATGGATTGTACTTTGCTTTGACCTCTGACTCCATCTGATTGAGTCCTCTCCATCCTCAGAACACCACTAATTAAGAAAGATTAGTTGCCCCAGATCTCTGCTTGAACCACTCTGTGTGAGTCTCATATGTCACTTGAGGGAGCACCTGCCAGGCTGCCATGGGGAGCAGCTTGTTCTGTGGTACTGGGTACCTGGTTCGCCATCTTCGAGGGATGCAGAGACACCTCCTCGTTTCTTACCTGCAGAAAAGTCTTGTGTCTCCCAGCATACTACCCCCAACCACCCCTCTAACAAAACCCACAATACAGTAGAGCAGTGTAAAGTCCTACCTTCGGAGTCAGCCCTAACCATTCTCCTTCCCTCACACTCACATCCCCTCTGTCAGCAAATTCTGACAGCGCAGTGTCTAAGATACAACCAGAATCTGACCTTCCCAGCATGTGACCCTGGGTTACTGTAGTGGTCTCTCACAGGCTCCCTGCTGCCATGCACAGCAGCTGGAACCCCCAACCCACCCAGTTCAAGGCAGAGCCCTCACCTGGGCTCCCACACACACTGCTGCAGCTTGCTGCCTCCAGCCCTCTCTGCCTGGGCAGCTCTTCCTCCAAGACCCATGTGCTCACTCTGTACCTTCTCAGGCCTTGGCTCTCCTTTTGTACCTCCTCACTTAGAGTTCACACTGTGTGTCCCAGCCCTCTTCTCTCCTTGCCTGCTTAAGTGTTTTCCTCCATACTTGTCACTGTCTTGCCATGTTCCATAGGTTGCTCCTCTCCCCGACTAGAATGTGAAGAAGGCAAGGGTTTTGTGCATTTCATCTCCTGCGGAACAGGGCTTGTCACATAGCAGGTCCCTCAAAAAAACATGACAGGATGGATGAATTAATTTTTCTGGGTTATTTTTCCTTACCAAATTAGTTCTGAAGAGACTCTCTTGATATGTCTTTTTCCCTTAATTAAAAAAACAAAAGGTGTTTTACTCTGGAATGTTCTAGGGAAAGGGTTTGGAAGATGGAGAGGAAGATGGTGGGGACCATTCTTCTGCTCTTCAAAAGAATCTGAATCCATTCTGACTTCTGTCAAAGGTGCTGCTCTATATGGCTGCCCCAGGACCCCAGCACGCACCCTTCCTTCCATTCCTTGACCAAAGTCCAGCTATAGGTCACACCGGTTCTCCACATCCCATTTTACTGCATTAGCTTAAGTCTCTAAGACAGATTTGTCTTTTCTTTTTTAAATTTTGAAATAAAAGCAATATGAATATGGAAGAGTGTTGAAACCACTTAGAATATCAAAAGTCTACTTCCCTGATCCCTAATTCCTTTCATCAAAGGTAACTCTTTTTAATAGTCACTTATATCTCCTTCTAGGGAAAAATTATGCATCATACTAGCATAAATATATATCTATTAAACATGAACATAACAGAATCATGGTATGTGTATTATTCTATAATTTTGAAATGTTTCTATATTAATCCATATAGATCTATCGTGTTTTTAGCAATTGCTTGGGATTGCACTAAATGTATGTATCATGATGTATACACCTAACCCCCTACTGACAGGCATTAGTTTCTGTTATGACAGTATGCAGTGAATAGCTTTATACATTCTGGTATGTCTGCAGTAATACTTGTAGAATACATACTGGCAGTGCATTGCCGGTTAAAGGACCATGGGCATTTAGCATTTTTAATGTTTATTTTTTAAAGTAAATAATTTTTATTTTTTGTAGCGACAGGATCTCCCTATGATGTCCTGGCTGGTCTCGAACTCTTGGCCTCAAGTGATCCTCCCATCTCAGCCTCCCAAAGTATAGGGATGATAGCTGTGAGCCTACACCTAACCTGGCATTTAAAATTTTGATAGCTATTGCCAAGTTGACTTTTGGATGGTTGTACTAGTTCATTCTTCCGGAGTGTGTTTTTTCCCAAACTTTTTATTTGGAAAACTATTAAGCTTACAGAAAAATCTAAATAATAGTGCAGTGAATACCCAAAGGCCCTTCACCTAGGTTCACCAATATTGTGTTGCTGCATGTGTCAGTTTGCTCAGGCTGCCATAACAAAATTTCTCAGAGTAGGTGACTTAAACAATAGACATTTATTTTCTCACAATTCTGGGACTTGAAGTCTGAGATGAAGGTATAAAGTGGCATGTTTGATTTCTTCTGAGACCTCTCTCCTTGGCTTGCAAGCAGGTTTCAAAACACCTCACTGTGTTTTCCCATGGCCTTTTCTTGGGGCATTCACACATCTGTGTCCTAATCTTCTCTTATAAGGACACAGTCATATTAGATTAAGGCCTACCCATGTGACCTCATGAACCCTAATTACCTCTTTAAAGGACCTATCTCCAAATACAGTCACATTCTGAGGTACTGGTGGTTAGGACTTCAACATATGAATTTGCAGGGAGGACACAGTTCAGCCCATAAATTACATTTGCTTCTCTTTCTCTTTATACATACCGGGGTGCCAAAAAAAATGAATACACATTTTAAGTGATGTTATCTATGTATTACTTTTAGTTCACCATAATCAGAAGTCTGGACGCTGATGGTAACCACTTTGAGCAACTCTTGTGATTGCAGAAGTCAAATGTGACTTGTATTCATCTTTTGTTATTGGTGTATGTTGAATATTACAATTTTATGATTTTTTTTTTTCTTAAAATGTGTATACTTTTTTTGGCACTTTCTGTGTGTGTATCTCATATTAATATAGTATAATTATAGCAATAGATATATAATTAGTTATATTTATTTATAATTATAATGTATAATAATTAAACCATTTATAATGTAACTTACTATTTATAATATATATTATACAATGTATAATTTTCCCCTTAAACCACTTGAAAGTAAATTGCAGCCACTCTGTTTCTTCAGCATACATCTCCTAGGAACGAGGACAGTTTCCTCGGGATATATTTGATGTCCTTTATTTTATACTGATGGGAACAGATTCCCCTGAAGCAGAGGAACAAATGAGCATGAAGTGTCTGGCCTAACTGGAGGCTTTCCCTCCAGATGGTTTTGTCCTGGCTCAGTTTCTTCCACATCTCCTTCCTGAGCTTCCAGCCACTGAGTGAGACTTGGCATGCTTGTGGGAAGGAGCCTTCTGCTTCTCAGAGCAGTTCGGGTGAGCAGAACCTCTTGGCCTTAACTGCAGATTCTTTGGCATTGTTGAGGTTTAGGATCTGTGATGTGTCAGTGAGATGACAGACCTCCTTACAACTCCACCTGCTTTTTTATCTCTCTCTCTATCAACATGCCTCTCTAAATACCACACGTGTTATTTCAGTTCTTTGTATAGGCAGTCCTTGCTTTGCAAATGGAGACAGCCTGTGTTTATTCAGAGAGTGGAGTTTATTGATTTGGGTACTGTTTTCTCCCTCTCAGTCTCCCTTTTCCAGCACCCTCACTGGCTTCTGGGGACTCTGCCAGAATTGGTTTTTGCCTGCTACCATTAGTAACAAGGCATCTTCTGTGGGCTTGCGTCGGTGTCTGTTTCTTCCTTAGTACTTTCATGTGGGAAAACATCATGCAGGCAGTACTTCCAGTGCTTGTTTTAGTAGGTAGAATAATTGTGGAACTACTTGCCTGGAGCTTCAGTAGAGGACACAGAACTTCGAAACTTTTTATTTTCTCTTGTTCAAATAGTTGTTTGCAGACCCCAGGTGCAGGCATAAATCTGATGAGTCCTTTGCCACCCAAGACTGATCAGGTTGTTGCTGATTGAGCACCCCAATCCTGCTGTCACTGCCTAGGACGCTGTGACACCACCAGCAGTCCTGCCTCAGTTCTCTCCACCCAAAATCTATCATGAACTCAATTAACAGAGCCCCCTTTCTAAGACTTAATTCTGACACATCTTTGACTCTACTTAGAACTCATCCCTGGCTTTTCTTTTCCTGCAGGACTCACTCCAGATTCCTTAGCCCAGCGTTCAAGACTCTCCCTCATTTGGCCTCTGCTCAATTTGTCACCCTGTTACCTGCTGTTCCCCCAGCAGATTCCTTGTTACCTGCTATATTGAAGCCAAATTAAATTATGCCAAACATACTCTACCATGCTATGTCCCTGTACCTATTAGCTTGTGGTGTTTGCTCTGGCCAGAACATATCCGTGCTCCCCTCTCTGGTCTATTTGCCAAACTCTTACCCCACCTTCAGGGCCTGGCTTGTCCATCCCCCATCAGTGAAGCCTTTCCTAACTAATATCCTTCCTCCAGGCAGGCATGGTTGGTCATCCTTTCCTTGTGCCATCATTCTGCCTCAGACTTCCCTCTTCTCTAGCACTTGTCACACTATGGTATATGCCTGTCCCACTAGTTGTTGGGCAGCTGGCTTTACCTTTATATCTGTACTGCCTGGCTTGGAGTAGGCACTCTGTAAACATGTAAGTAGATGGATGGGTTAGCCTTGCATACAGCACATCCTGAAGCTAGAGGCAACTACACTGCACTTTGTTGTTACCAGTCCTTATCTGAGTGAGCCTTATCACAAAGAAGAAAATAGTTTTCCACATGCTGTGAGGAGTCATTTTTCCTAAGTGTCCAGTTCTGAAGAGACCATACTGGTCATCAGCAATACAGGGCCTCGTGGCCTTCACTGGGCTTGTTGTATACTGTCACATGTTAAAAGGAAAAGTATCTCAATTCAATTGTGTAAACATTGAGTAGACTGATAACTCGACTCGTAATATTCATTTTGCTTTATGTTATTGCTTTGGAAAGCTATTGATGTCTGTCTTTTCTTTCAGTTAAACGCTTCAGAGAACCAAAGCATGAAAGACGTCCATGGAGGATATGGTATGTATTTAAGTATTAACTCATTCCTAGAATGCTTTTGGGGAGCTTGGAGGGGTTGGTGGAGCATGGTGTCGAAGTGGAGAGGGGATAGAATGTGAGAAATTATACATGACATAATTTGGAATCCATTAGTTAAGTTCATTAGGAACTATTTATAATATGAAGGTGATTCTGTTGTTTTTTTTTTAGTTGGTGTCTCACTCTATCACCCAAGCTGGAGTGCATTGGTATGATCATGCCTCACTGTAGCCTCAAGCTCCTGGATTCAGGCAATCCTTCCTCCTCAGCCTCTCGAGTAGCTGGGCACACACCACCACACCTAGCTAATTAATTTTTTTAATTTGTTGTTGTTGTTATTGTTGTTGTCATCGTTGTTCAGACTGCTCTCAAACTTCTGGCCTCAAGTAGTGCTCCCACCTCAGTCTCCCAATCTCCCACCTCAGTATCCCAAAGTGCTGGAATTACAGGCATGAGCCACCACTCCCAGCCCCAGATAAATTTGATCCCTACCATTATTTTATAACCACTCTGCTTCCAGTTTTGGAAGATAGAAGATATCTAGAAATACCTCAGTTCCTGCTGCAGCCTTCTTCATCTGTGTCTACCTATTGTTAGGGTTTGTTTACATTCTTAGATTCCATAGTCTTTATGTGCAAGCAAAAAAAATCTAATTTGGAGATCAGTCATATATACCATGTAAATGTTCCTCTCCCCCAAACTAGTCTTTTGTCCTAGGATAAAGGAAAACTATTTCTCTATTCACAAGACTTCTGACACTAAATGTATAGGGTTTTTTCCCCCCAACTAATTTTCCAACTCTCCATACACCAGCAGGGTGTCCCATAATTTAATTCTGAGACTAATTATCAGAGTTAGTACATATGCCACAGGTTAAAGGCTCAGTCCCACAAACTGCCCCCTGCTTCAGATTACAATAGCAGGTAGTGGGTCCTCAGGGTATCCACCCTTCTGTCTGACTTGGCTACAAAATTATGGGTTCCCACAGGCCCCCTTCAGGTGCAGTAATCTGCTAGATGGCTCACAAAACTCAGAGAAACATTTATTTGCATTTACTGGTTTATTATAAAGGACACAAATGAACAGCTAGATGAAGAAGTGCATGGAGAGATATCTGGAAGGGTCCTGAGGATTTGGGGTGTCCTACCTTCCCAGTGTGTGGATGTGTTCACCAATTTAGAAGTTCCCAAACCCTGGAATTTGGGGGGGGGGTTGTTTTTTGTTTTTTTGCAGGTTTCACCATGTAGGCATGATTGATTATTAACTCAGCCCCCAACCCTTTTCTTATCCCTGGAGAATGGGAGATTGGGGCTGAAAGTTCTAAACTTCTAATCATAGCTTGATTTTTCTGATGATAGCCCCATCCTGAAGCTGTCTAGGAGCTCACTAAGAGTTGCCTCATTAGAACAAAAGACTTGGCTGGATGCTGTGGCACATGCTGGTAATCCCAGAACTTTGGGCGGTCAAGACAGGAGGATCATTTGAGACCAGGAGTTCAAGACCAACTTGGACAACATAGTGAGATCTCATCTTTAGAAAAATATTAAAAATTAGCCAGGTGCATGCCTGTAATCCCAGCTACTGGGGAGGCTAAAGTGGGAGGATCACTTGAGCCTAGTGAGTTATGATCGTACCACTGCACTACATCTGGGTGACAGAGCAAGACCTTATCTGAAAATAATAAAATTTCAGTTGGGCTCGGTGGCTCAGCTTGTAATCCCGCGCCTTTGGGAGGCTGAGGTGAGTGGAT